CTCACCCCCACCTGCGCCCACCTGGGTGCTGAGCATCCTCACCGACAGCACAGGTGCGCCTGCCTGTGTGCTGCTGCAGCAGCTTCACGATGTGGGCTTTCTGGGTGGGTGAGCAGCGGCAGCACACCACGGCAGGACCCTGACAGGCCAGCTCCACAAGCTCGTGCTCATAGTACTTCAAACACACCTGGAACACAGAGCCGCGATGCAAATCTTGTAGCCAGGTGGACACAGGGACCCAGCCCCTGATGGCTTGGACTGGCCGCAATTGCCTGGATTGGCCTATGATAGTTTCTACAACCACAGGCCAGCCCACCATGGTTCATCACAACACATCCAGCCCACCACAGCCCAGCTCACGACAGCCCAGCTCATCAATGTCTTGAACACCACAACCCACCTCACTGCAGACCAGCCCACCACAGCCCAGATCACATTCATCTATTTAGAGATGCAAGAGGCTGGCATATATGCCGCGTCTCCATGTCTAGGCAGAGTGGGCAGGTGTTGGATCACAGGTCAGCCTTACCTCCAAAGAGTCCCCGGAGATGACCAGTGCACAGTCATGTTTCCTCCTGAATGCATTCAGCTCCAGGTGGGCCTCACTGCGACTTGTCACCTTTGTGGTGGAAAGTGTCCGGATTAAAGCATGTCTTTGAGGTCCAGACATGGGAAAGGTCTCTTGGATGTACCATTGGAAATAAAAAATGATTCTGTGTATGATGTTCTCCAAGGAGGTGCCTAGATACCCTGGTTATCCATGAGGAATGCGAGTGCACCATGCTGGAGACCAACACAGATGGGAGGTCAGGGTGGCCTGAGTGCCTGGCCATCTCTGCAGTCAGGGGGTCATGAATTTCCCAGAAGATGAAGTTGGGGACCAGCAGGCTGAACCTGTTGCTGCTCAAGCACTTCCACCTTAGGGTGATCCCTCAGGACAGAGCAGTCCTGCCCACACTCCACACTCCATTCTGCCCACACTCCGTCCAGCCCACACTCTATACTCCATTCTGCCCACACTCCGTCCAGCCCACACTCTATACTCCATTCTGCCCACACTCCGTCCAGCCCACATTCCACTCTGCCCACACTCCACACTCCGTCCTGCCCACACTCCGCACTCTGTTCTGCCCACACTGTGTCTTGCCCACAATTTGTCCCATCCACACAGTCCTGCCCACACTCTGCACTCTGTCCTACCCACAGGATTTCAAAAGCTGTTTCCTTCCACATGGGGAAACCCTCAGGTGGATTCAAACTTCTCACCTTTTGGCTCAGAAGCCTAAAGTTTTGGCCACAGCCCCACCAGAGGTCCTCAGAATTATTTAAATTCTGCCTTTACTTAAATACTCATTTTTCCCTAACATGTCCAGTGATACAAGGTATTTTCATAAAATTGCTTCTGCTCTCTCTGCCATGCATTTTGTTTAGAATGTAATAGATCAAACAATTTCAGAATTATGGTTCGAATTAAACTTCAGATTCACTTTAAAATAGATAGATTTCACCATAAAAAAGTTTAACACATGTGTATAACACAGAAAAGTCAAATAAAATGGATCTAAAGTTGGATCAGAAGCATTAATAACTGAGCTGTGGATCACCAAGGATCACTTGTAACTGTCCTTCCAGAACAAACCACGTTTCTGTAAAAACGACCCTGAAATAACGTTTCTGTAGGTGCGAGTGTGCCTCACTCTGAGACTCTGCTCTTCTCCTGTCTAAGCATGTTTTGCTTAAAAGGAATGAAGTCATGACTAGCTGCATATAGTGAACACACACTTAGCTAATTTCTGTTAATTTTCTTGGAGCTAATTAACTAATTAATTTGGAGTCAGTGGTAGATAAAAACCACTGTTGCTCTGTGAAGTAACAGTAACACACGCCAGGATGAAGGATGTCATTTCTCTGTGTATTTCTGTGTGGTGTCCAACAGACGACCACGGCCCTTGGCCAGAGTGCCACAGCTCCTTCCACGTGGACTGTGCTGCAGGACAAAGAGGCAGAGGGCAGCAACAAGACCCACACACAGGGCTCACCGGTCTGAACACGTGGATGTCCTGTGTCCGAGACACGAGATGTGAACTTTTGGCAATACACGTGGCTGTCTCCAGCTTGTCTCCCGTCAGCATCCAGATCTGGAAGAAGAGCTAATGACAGCTTTGTGGCTCCTCACAGGTCTTCGTCCGTCAGGGTGAGACCAGCTTGCTCAGGGCACAGCCACAAGAGGAGCTATGTTCCAGGTCCATCTTCACGGGACGCACATGGGGGGTTACATAAACAGTCCCCAGTGACTGTCTCGGGTCCATCCATACAGGATGTGTGTGTGCACACGGCCCCCAGTGATGATCTTAGCTCCATGCTCACAGGATGTGAGTGTTGGGTACACAAACGGCCACCAGTGACCGCCTCAGGTCTATCCCCACAGCACATGCGTGTGCAGGACATGCAAACGCAAGCACAACCCCTCCTCCTGGACATGTGACCCCCCCGTGAGGCATAAGCTGCAATCAGCAGTGTCAGGCCATCGCTGGCCAGAAAGGCGGGGAGTGGACTCCTGACATGAGCTCGAAAGTATAAATGGTATGAAAACTAAAGCAGGTGTTTGAACACTGCTCACTTAAGTTTCTGCTTTTTGTCAAAATGAGAAAGACCTCAAGTGCTTCTTGTGGGGACATCCAGTAACAAAGCCCCAAGCCAACACGTCCATCCACAGTGACAGGAGAGGGCCCAGGAAGACCACAAAAGAACCTGGGATCCCACCACACCTGAAGGGCCTCAAGCTGTCAATGGGGACCCGTTAATGTGGAAGCGGCAGGGCTGGGACCGTAGTCTGAGACAGAGGGTGTAAGGAAGACCCCCAGCCCTCAGGCGGCACCCTCCTTGATGCCCTCTGGACAACTCCCCAGGTAGCATCCTCCCTCCCCCCGGGCCAACACCACACCTTGATGCCCGCGTTGCGCAGCATCTCCAGGGTAGGCCGCACGTCAGCCTGCAGCTGGTCCTCCACCCCTGTGAGGCACAGTAACTCCATCTCCCGCTCCAGGCTCTCGACCACAGCGGCCACCTTGAGTGCCCGGTCATGCAAGCTCAGCTTGGCCTGGCTATACCGGTTCTGGGGGAGTATTGAGACTGTGAGAATGGGCCTGTCATCCCTGCCGTGGGGGAGGGATGGTAGGAGCAGAGTCCACCCCACCCCCACCCCACCCCGCCCCAGCTGTGGGGGAGACATGTGAACACGGGACAGTGAGGAAGCTAAGAGAGGCCGTGATACCCCAGGATGACGCTCACTGGCATGTGCCCACCTCAAAGTCCTGGTACTGCTCCTCTGTCAGTGACTTCTTGGCCACCACGAGAGTACGCAAGCCCTCCCGGGCCATGTTTCCACACTGAGGAGAGAGACCACAGTCACACAGAGGGACAGCACAGCCCTTTCCCAGGGATGCTTTAGGGGGCTCAGTGTAATCTGGACAGCCACCCCTGACCACCGACCCTCCATGGCACAGGACACCCTGGCTGCAAGGGAGGGGCACACACTGAGGGTCTGGGCTGAGTTCTCTGGACCCTCAGGCCACTCCCTGACCTTTTCAAGCCTCAGTTTCCCCATTGGTTAAATGGGCTAATGAGACGTCCTCGGATAAGCAGTTAATTTTTGTCATGTGGCGAACCTGTAATGAGCTCGACACTTCAAGGTCCACAGGGCAGGCTCCACGGAAGGGGAGCGTCAGGCTTGGGGGACCTCTGTGACGTGACACTCACAGGTGCCTGCTGTTAAGTGCCATCGAGTCAGCTCTGGCTCACAGCTACCCAAGAGAACCAAGCAGCAGAGCCCCAGAGGTTCTGTCAAGACTGGCACGGCTTTGGTGCCTCACTGCTTCTGGTTGTACACACACTGCCCGGCTACCTGTGCTATATACCCTCGGGCACTCATGCACACAGCAGACGAGTTATTTCCACACAAAGGAAACAACTCGTTGTCAGTGAGCATGCCATTCCTTTCTGCTTCTGTAACTGAGAACTGGCACCACTTATGGGAGTAGCTGGAAAGCCTAGGAGGCTGACCCAGTGCCTCAGGGCCTGCACTGCTAATGCAAAGGTCGGCATCCTATTCACTGCTGTTCCGGGAGGACGGATGGACAGCATCCTCGCTTCAAGAGTCACAGCCTCAGAGCCCAGCGGAGGCTGCCACAGGTGGAAACTCGAAGACAGTGGGTCCTGACTGGAAATGCCTGGCCCTTTGCCCATGTGGTAGGACGCTTTGTGACATGGGCCTGCTAGCAGGCTCCGCCACAGCAGCGTGTGAAGGCCAGGGGGAGGTGGATCTTTTCCTATCATCTGCTCACCCAACTGAGCAGACAGTCTGCACATTAATCCCTCCACTCACCTCCTCCTCGAGCCAATCGTTGTACTGGACAATGGTGGACATGGCCACGTCAGCACCCTTCAGGTAGAAAGTGATCTCAGCTGTGGACTCCTCCTGGGGCAGAAAAAACAAAGGTGGGTGGCCAGCGGTCACCAGAACATTGTCCCAAGTGGCTCCTGGGGTGTCCGGTGGAGGACTGATGGAGCCCAGGATGTGAGTCTGCAGCACAAGGTACACGTCTGCTGCCGACCATCTGCATCCAGTGCTTCCAGTACGCTGATCATCCAGGCCTACTGCTGGGTTTTGCTGGGAAACTCTACGGGGGTTCATGTCTGCGGCTTGAAGAGCCAGACGTGCAGGATCAAATGGTCTGGCACAGTCACTTGTGGACAAAACCAGTGACTGATGCTGTGGATGCGAGCTATTAGTGGTGCCCCCAGCGCTCGCCTGACAGCCACAGCACCTTCGCAAGCATGAGCACTGACTCTGCAGAACTGTTTGTGTCAGTTTAATGGACTTAAAAAGCAGGTGAACTTCATGATCACATAAGCTTGCCACAGTGAAGTTTACAAAGCAAGTATTCTGAAATGAAATAAAAGCTAGCTGACCACCTGTGCGCGAGTTGCTGCTGTGGCCCCCACTGTGGGGTGACCAGGTGTGGACACTCACCCGCACAATGATGCCCATGCGCTTGCTCTCGGACGTGAAGGGGAACACCTGCAGGACATGGTAGGTCAGGATCTGCCCTCCAGGCGTCTTCAGCTGCATGGAGGAAAGGTCCCTGCTGACCAAGGTGAGGCCCACGCTCTCTGTCCACTGCACGAGGGCGACCTAGAAGGAACCGTGGCATAGGGAGGTCACTGCTGTGAAGGTGGGCGAGGCAGTGAGCATCACTGTGATTGGCTGAGGGCTCGTGGTTCCCACAGCTGTGCCAAGTACCCTCGCTTGCACTGCTGCAGGTGAACAGAGAGAATCACTGCAAAATGACCACTGATGCCAATTTTAACAGGCCATCACTGTCCCTCGATGCCAGGTTCACGTGGCTGTCACTTGGGAATGTGTAACAGAGGTTCCTCCATGCCTGGTAGCAAAGGTTACATGTGGTGGGACAGAGGGACCTCACGCACTAGTCAGGGTTTGTGGACCAAGCTGGCCAGCCAGTATGTGACCCACAGGCCTGATCTTTAAAGGGGACAAAACTACAGAGAAAGTGGGCTTGGGCCATGGTGGCTGCATCCCGGATCCTGGGCAGGTGAGGGCAGGCTGTGCATGGGCTTGTGGACAGGTCCCCAGGCATGGAGCCTGACCCGAAAGTCAGACATCAGCGATTTAGCATCAAACTCATCATTCATTCATAAGTTTAAAGGAAAAGGGAAGAAAAATTTATAGTTAATTACTTATGGATAGACTTGTCATGATAACAAGTGTTTTCTGAACACAATGGTCTGGGGCCTTCAGAACACTATCTGATGAGGATTAATTAGGGAAGACACCGTTGTGCAGGCAGGAGAAGGAGGGGCGATCTCCTCCTGTGCAATTAACTGCCTCTGAAAACCCACTGGAATGTCAGCTAAGGGTGGGTTCTGACTTGACGATACACAACCAGCACCACCAGCACGGTGCAGGTGCTGAGGAACAAGAAGGCAGGACAGGTGGCTCCTTTGTCCTCATGCTTCAAGGAAGCCTAGCAGAGGACCGGACAGCCACCAGCACTGATGTGACACTGACAGAAACACTGTTGGTGGCTCCAGTTCTGGGGTCTGGCCGGCGGAGGCCCAGCCACAAGAACCACCTGCATGCCTCACAGTCACTGGCAGGTGCCTGCTGCGCCAAGAGAGCTGTGCGTCACCACTGCAGGTCCTGGTTCTGGGCTGGGTCCCACAGCCCTGTACCTGACAGCACCAAGTTACACTCTGAATGAGATGCGGGACCATCAGCACAAATGGTACTCAGTGCCTGTGACTTCAGAAACGTAAAGTTGACAGTGGGACTCTATGTGTCCTCACCAAACTCCTAACCCTAACTGCCAAGTTAAAGGCACCAAAGGTAGCTTTGTGTACCCTGTAGCAGTTCATGCCGTTAACTGAAAGGCATGTGTCTCCAGAGGTTCAAATCCACCAGCTGCTCTTTAAGAGACTGAAGGCCTCTCACTGTACTTGAAAGTACTGAAAACCTGACAGAAGGTGGCTATGAGTTGGAATTCACTCCACAGCAGAGTTCAAGACACACTAAATGCATGGTCTAGCACAGAGCACGTACACAGAGACCAGCAAAGGTAGTCAAGCACACCCACAAACACAGGGAGCACACTGGACGCACACGGGCCCCATCAAATGTACAGGGGAGCACACGGCACCTAGGAGGGACCCATCAATTGCACAGCTGAGGACACAGCTCCGACAAGGGTGTGACTGGAACTCTCCCTGAGCCAGAGCACGTTCCCACGGCCGCTCCAGCACGCTCTTCACTGCTCATCTCCTCTCACTGTTTGAACAGGACTAGTCTGTGTCGGGCACTGGTCGCAAGGACACCTTTATGTGAATCACCCTTCATTTCAATCACTCCTCGAAGGTGTTCCCTCAGTAGTTCACAGCTGCCATGTGAAACAGAAAATAATGGTGAGAACTTTACAAAAGGACCCACAGTTTTATTCTAGTTAAGCGTTATCTCTCTGCTCGTAGACATCTGACGCACACACGCGAGGAAGCGAGATGGACAAGTCTCTGCACAGGGAGTCCAGGGACTGCTAACCTGCTCCTCTGAGGACATGCACGCAGACGAACAGGAAGCCACCCCAGGGCCAGCTCTGCGTCGACCTCCAGCCACTGTGGGTGACAGCTGGGCCCTGAAGGTGGCCACAATGGCAGAAATGGAAGGCAGAAGCAGGATCAGCTGAACGCTTACAGAGGAGGAGCCTCAGCCTGCAGTCCACTGCTGCTTCTGAGTCCAGGCAACTGCAGATCCCTTCTGAAACCCGTTCCGAGCAGGCTAATAGCAGAGTGCTTGTGGTGGAAAACTGGGAAAAGGGTAGTGAGGTACATGGCTGCACAAGAATGGAGCCATGGCCACTGAATTGCCCCTGGGCACACTGTTCAACCGGCGACTGCCTGCCTTACTATGCCAGGACCACAAGAAAAGAAAATGACACTGTCATAGTAAAATGGTCATCGCAAGTCTCTGGAAAAATACGTTAAAATCGCCAACTCCTAGGTAAACATTAGCTGCACCTCAATCAATGCACCTGGAAACAGCGATTAAGGGGTTTGATGGCATATACTGGGCAGATCTCCTACACAAGACCACTTCAAAGTGTTTACAAAGGTGTCACCCTGCAGACTTGAAGTGCACCTGACACTGACTGTGGTGTCTTCAACCATGAGACAGCGCGGCAAAAGCTGGGCAGTGAGTAACAAGGCCTGTCGCCTTTGGATGATGATGTTGGTGAGGGACACAGAATATACCATGGACTTCAGAGGAATAAAGCTGGCCTGGAAGAAGTGGAGGCTGACAGAAGGCCAGGGTTAAAGCCCTCACGAGCAGATGGGGGACACCAGTCAGGCTGGCCGCACCACAGAAGCTCCATGAGGTCACACCTTTTCCCTGGGAGCCCGGTGCATACCAGCAAGGCTGTGTCATGTCTCTATTTTCAAGCAGGTGTGGCTGCTTATTCATTTTAGCTGAGAAGATCCCCCCCCGCCTTATAGCAGTATTTCAAGCTGAGGGAACTGTGTGTCTGTGGCCATGGAGGGAAAGAATATGATGGCTTTTCTGCAGGACTCACATAAAGATTCATGCTGTTATCTTCAGCACAGGAGAGGGTGTGGGTTCCCAGAGGAGCCTGTACCTGTGTACCTGGTGCTCTTCCTACTTTGCCCTGGTCCTTTTAGCTGTCCCTGTATCAGGCAAAGATCTACTGTCTGGACTTCACAGCTAAGCAGGACTGGTCTTTGACCCTGCCCATGAATTTCAGGGAGACAATGGGACATGTCAACGAAACTTTGCTCCTCTCCGAGCGCAAATTAAATCTTCATCACCTATCATGAGAAACACTGTGAATATGATAGCAATCCTGACCACACCCTATAGGCAAAGTGCCATCAGACCAGCAAATGCATCACCTTCTGGGAGTGAAGCTAATGCCTTGGATGCCATACCTGCATGATAAACATACATGTGTGCACCTGTGCAGGCGAGTGAAGAAACAGAAAACCAAACCACTTACATGGTGGAGAACAGCAATGGCAGCCTGGGCACCCACCACTAGGGCCTCTGTCTGAAGATGGAATGTCCATGAGCCCACAACACAGCAGGTTTGAGGACAAGACCCTCCTGACCATGACATGGCTCACGCGGACCATCTGCTGACCACATGGAGATGAGGTCCACCTGACCAAGACACAAGCCCACCTGAGATGACATCATGGGCCCATGTGAGATAGTATAACCCTGCAGAGAGGGTGGGAATGCAGTGAGGACGCAGAGAGCTTCTGATGGCCAAGGCTCACACATGCACACGGTGACAGATCAGAGCTAAGTTAAACAGAAAACCCCGACTGAGCCATCTCCCTAAATCAAGTTCTAAGATGCAGTATTCTCGGCACTTTATTCAATTACCAGTGCCTTAAGCCAGCAGTGTGGGGAGGGTCACCCTCATGGCGAGCTCAGCAGCTACAGGCTTCCCGAAGGCTAATGTGGTGTGGCTCGGCCGCCAGGCACAGGTGGCTTCTGCTACCTCAAATCATTGTCCAGCCTGCAAAGATGGCACATTTTATACATAAAAGTCAAACTGAAGACCAATGCCTCTTATTTCTGTTTTTAGTAATCTTTGAATCAATGAATTCTTTACTGTGAAAGATTTAAATCTTTAAATTTCCTTAAGATTTAAAGTGTTATGATTCTTATGGGACGTCTTTAAATCTACTTAAGATTTAAAAAGTGTTATGATTCTCATGAAATTTTAAGGCTTAAAGACCCTCAGTAAGCTCAATAACAGTTGCACCATTTTCGGCATGGAATAGTAAGGAAAGAGATTTTTAACAGAGTATAAGAGTATTTTTCTTGGGAAAAATCCATGTCTAAATTTCCCATGATTATGGCTTGAAACACTCCTTTTAGGCCACAACTGGATGGAATTTCTGACAAGCTCCAGGACGGAGGGAGTGAGAGCAACACATGCAACCCTTTCTTTGTAAGACAAAACCAATGTGGCCCTTTCGCTCTGACAGCAGTTGAAGAGGCCTGTGTTTGTGCTCTAACACTGCACTGAATGCTGATGAGAAGCAATTTCTAAACTCGACAGTCACCCATATCTCTGTGAGATCTCCAATCTGATCTGGAGGGCTGGAACAGGTGGTTAACAAGCGCTAATACACATTTAAAAAAAAAGAGTTAATACACATTTGTAGTGCAAGAAGGCCTATAAAACTTCATAGTGATACTGAAAGGGATCTTCAAAGTCTTCACCAGTGGACAAGACTTGGATACAGGGATTGGAGGACAGCAGGCTGGCAGGACGGTGCCGACACTGAGGAGTGGGGCTGCACCTTCTCCAAAGCCGCCTCTTTGCACTGTAGTTCCCTTCTGCGCCCAGTGCTACAGCAGGAGCCTGCTGGCTAGGCTCCCTGGCATTCTTCAGAGGGCGGGGGACGTGAACAGTGAGCACGCAGCCCTCAGTCCTCAGCATGGCTACCTTAGGGTTCTCCGGAGGCCAGGGCCTTGCCTACGCCTCCAGCTCCCAGGCATGGCCCCCAGGGAGAACCTGGCTGGGCCCCTCTCAGGAGCCTGTGCCATGTGAGGGTTTGGTCCCAGCAGCCTCATGGAGCTCTCAGCAGTACGGCTGTGGGAGACGCCTCTACAGGGAGCACAGGGGAGCCGCAGCTGTGAGGACACTGGCCCCAGAGGAGACACATCTGTGGGGAGAAGATGCTGCTGGAGACACAGTGGTGGGGACCCAGCTGTGGCTGTTGGGAGAGGAGACTGTAGGAAGAGGCCTCCATGGGGAGAAGTGTTTTTGAAAAGGAGAGGCAGAGGAGTGGTGCCTGGGCGGGTGGGCTGTGTGTGTGTGTGAGTCTGTGATAGGAAGACACCCTGAAAGGGCCAACATGTGCTGTGACCAAAGCTGACTATTAGCCCCTGTCCTGTGGAGTGAACAGTTGTGAGGTTTCTCCAATTCTGCTGCTGGAGTCACTGCATTTAATGGCTAGACTAGCCAACACACTCTATTTGCATATTCTGGCCCACCCACATGGCAAAGTAAGTGAATGGACAGGGAAATGATTTTGAACAGTAGGCCCTTAAAACCACACTGAGCAATATGAAATTTTTAGCAACCTCACTCTTTATGGTTCTCCCTCCATGCCGCAGCCCTAGGCCCCTCCACTCCCATATGCACCAATAACACGGCTGAATTGTGCTTCTGCTTGTCCTCTTATTCAGCAGTCAGGAGATCAGGAGGTGTACAACACTGGAAAAGTCCGCTATCAGGGATGTCTCCAAGGTCCTGAAGAGCAATGACGTCAGTCTGAAGACTAGGGTGTGCCTGATTCAAGCCAGTCTTTCCAATCACCTGCTATGCATCTGAGAGCTGGACAATGAATAAGGATGACAGGAAAAGAACTGATGCATTTGAGTTGTGGTGTTGGAGAAGAGCACTGAGTATCTCATGGACTGCCAAAAGAACAGACAGGTCTTTGAGAAAGTGCAGCCAGAGTGCTCCTTGGAGGCAAAGATGGTGAAGCTTTGTCTCAGGTATTTTGGAAATGTTGTTAGGAGAGGCTATTGCTTGGAAAGGTCAGTGAATGAGGGAAGATTTTCAATTAAATGGACTGATAGTTTCTACGACAATGCACTCACATGTATCGAGGGTAAGAAAGATGGCACAGGGCAGGACAGGACAGGGTTCAGATTTGTTGTTCACAGGGTTTCTATGAGTCATACTTGACCTGATGGCACTCAATAGCAATATTTGTAGAATTAAAATTTAGCTGTATCCTTATACCTGTCTTAAGAAATTGAACTAGGACTTTCTACGACTGAATTTTTCATGTCATAACCTGCTACTTTGCTTAGTCTTTGGCACGAATCCACTCTACAATCTATGCTGTCTGTTGCCATTTTTTTTTAAACATGAATATCTCAAGAGTTTATTATCTTGATAAAATAAGATGAAGCTTAGAACTGGATCACTTCCCCCTTTCCCTTCTTACCTAGTCCCAGTTCACAGTGCTTGCTTTTGACAGCCAGCATTCTTTTACATATGCAGTTTGACTCAACACTTTCAAGTCCTGACACAATCTTCTTTGTAGTTTTCGCCTTTTTCTAGAACACTGGCTTGGTCTGCCCACCGTAGCCCCTCTGCTTCCTGTCGTGACACCGCTTTTCCTGGGAGCACAGAGCACGTTGGCCTTCTTGTATTGGGTCACTTTGTGGGGCTGCTGCTTGCCATCCTTTCTGCAGAAAGTCTGGTGAGTTTTGGGAATGCTGACCATGTTTGTGTCATTTTGTTTATCAATAATTTTGCTGAGCTCTGAGTCGCAAGTCCTATGCCTTAGCCACTTAACAATGACAACACAACCTCTTTCAGAGTTGTCAACCCTTAGTACAATAAATTCTAACCATTTTGTCCCCCAAAGAGTAATTGCCTACTCTTTATATCACACCAATCTCCATCTCCCAGCCTTCTGTAACAACGACCTAACTTCTGTCCTGTACCAATGTGCTAGTTCTATATGGTTCATGTAAATGGGGTCACGGGGTCAGACAGATGTAGTTGTTGGAGCCTGGCTTCATTCTCCCAGTGCCAATGTTTCCCAGGTTTATTTGTAAATGTATCACAGCATCATTCTTTAGTCCCAAACCAGATCCACCGTAGGGAAAGGCTACACATGACTTCTCTAGTCATCAGCTGAAGGACCTATAGGTTGCTTCCAGGTTGAGACAATGATGAACAACACAGGAGAAGACGACCCTGGATAAGATGGATTTTATCTGGGGCAACAGGGGTTGATGTGTTTGAATTAGTGAGACTGGCTCAGGACAGGGAAGGGTTCAGAGCTGCTGTACATATGGTTGCTATACATCGCAGGTGACTCAACGGCACATAACAACAACAACATACTATATTGGTTGTTTCTTTTATTTAAGAATCTTGTTTAGAGTCAACAAGACCTCGGGGAGGGCCTTTGTATTTAAAGTTGGTTGTTATTTTAGAGGATCATTCTTCTAAGTGGTACAACGTTCTTTTGTCGATATGCTGAACTGAGGTAACCTGGGGTTGCTATGACGCTGAACCTTGTGCCACTGGGGTGTCTAATGCCTTAATAGTTACCCATGGTGGATGGTATTTGGTGGAGCTCCCAGATTAAGACAGGTCTGGCAGGAGGAGTGGCATCCACTACCTAGACAACATGCCTCTGGAAGCTCTGTGAACTTTGATAAACATCGATAGTTATAGAAAGGCTTCAGGCCTTTTGTTCATAGGGTTGCTATGAGTCGTGCTCGACTTGAAGGCAATGAACCACAACAACACCCAGGAAATTGCAGGCCCTGGTGATGCAGCGGTTAAATGCTTGACTGCTAGCTAAAAGTTTGGTGGTTCAAGTCCACTGGCTGCCCCACAGAGGCAAGGAGTGACCCCTGCTTTTGTACAGATGGTAGCCTGGAGCCCTCCCAGGCCATTCTACTGCCCGGCAGTGCTTTGCTTGAGCTACAGCAAGTGTGGCCTTGTGGTTGATTTGGTAGTTGTCAGAAGAACTGGCAGCTGTTTCCACAGTGGCTGCACCATTTGACCTACTCACCAGTGTTCTAGGAGGCTTCTGATTCCTCTCTCTGTTTGCCAACACATCAGAGTTTTTTAGTACAGTTATGTTGTTGCTTGGTGATATTGACCTGGTTAGATACATGGTGGTGACAGAGTGTTGGCTCCTCGGTCTCCCAGGCTGCGAGCCGTACAGGAAGGACTCCGTCTCTCTTCTGTGGAGCAGCGGGTAGGTTTGAACCTCTGATCTCTTGGTTATCAGCCAAGCATGTAACCACTGCACCGCCAGGACCCTTCCGTTATCTCAGGGTGCATGAAGTGGCCTTTTGCCCCTTGTTTGTGAAGCTTTATGACAAAGAGTCTCCCCTTTTCCAGTAAGCTCGCTGTCAAGATCCTCACACTCACTCTTTAAAACGTCCAGTACAGTTTTTCCTTTCACCTTCGACTGAAGGGGTTTAAAGCCTTTTTACAAAGAAAGTGTCTAGGACTCAGTTTTAGAAAGTATTTGCAGAAGCTTGCTTCTCTCCTTGGATGGCCAGCTTGGTCCCGTAACAGGATCATCTGAGAGATCTTGAGGGCAGAGTTTATGAGGAATGCTGATAAGCTCTCCTAGGACTGCAGTCAGGTCAAGGTAGAAAACATTAACATACCATAATTACAATTTCGTAATTTCTGTCTAATATGGATTTCTTCCAAATGACTGACATCATCATTTTCTCTTGAAATAAAGACCTCAGATCAGAATTGTGCAAACTCCCTGGCCACATGTGAGCAGACCTGAGGGCTTAGACAAGCAGCCTCCAGAACATGCCCCTCAAGGATTCGCTGAGATTCTGGCCCATATGGGCAGCCTGTGGGACCTGGGCGCAGGGTCCTCTGGGCCATGGGAACGCATGTGCCAGCATGGGAGGCTGTGGTAAAGGCCCTCAGGTCCTCCACCTGCAGAGCAGACACTGGCCTCCAGTGAGCGCAGGGGCCCGCTCTGGGCTCAGAAGAATGCAGTACAGACCTGAGGCGAAAACTGCTTACCTCATCAGGGCTGGAGGCCTGGTAGGTGCGGTTCTCGTCACTGAAGTCCTGGTCTGCCTCTGTGTGCTCTGTCTCCCCAGCAGCCCCACCGTGGGACTCGTACACGGGGGTCACGTTATGACACAGGGCAATGGCCTTCACAGCTTCGTGAATCCGGCTGCTGACACTCTTTCTGACTTTGGGGGCTGAAGACTGAGCCTTCCTTGGCGGTGTGCAACTGGTACCACTCCCAGAAGCTTGAGAATGTGTCTGTAAAACAGGAGATACAATTACAATTATGAACACATAGTTTTTTTTTAAATGAATATACTGCAATAAAGATACACTGGCCAGCAACAATAGCAAAGTTCAATGGGGCAGCCAGCAACAAATGTTGGTGAGATTGTGGAGAGACTGGAATTCTTTTTTTTGTTTTAAATTTTTAATTTTATTATTTTTGTGTAAGTGTACTGTCAAATCAGATCTGACTGGTACAGGAGGAGATTGTCCCTCCTTCCCCGGCAGAGCATCTGGTGGATTTGAACCGTGTGCCTCTGGGATTGTAGTTGCAGCTCCTTGCCACTAGGCCACCAGAGCTCCCCTAGAGACTGGAATTCTTATTCACTGCTGCTTGGAATGTAAAATGGTACAGCCACTATGGAAGGTGGTCTGGCACTTCTCAAAAAGTTGGAAATAGAAATACCATTTGACCCAGCAATTCCACTACTGGGAATATACCTTAAAGAAACGAGAGCCACAACTCAAAAAGATGTATGCACATCCAGGTTTATTGTGGCATTATTCACAATAGCTAAGAGATGAAAGCAACCTAAGTGCCCAACAACAAATGAATAGACAGGAAAACTGAGTGGCAGGCGTGCTACCCAGCCAGGATGCACCGTCAGCACCTGAATTCTGCCACGAGCTCCACCATGCACAAGAGGAGATGCTGCCATATGCCAGGACGGTGCTGTATGCACTCATGCCAGCTGATGCTTCTGTAAGCTAATCTCCCACGAACTCTATCAAAGACCATGCCTTCTCTGCCAGCACGTCCACCAGGGACCTAAATCAGGCTATATAAGAGCTATGCGATATTACAATTGCCCACCAGACTTGCCACCTTGTTAATACAGACACAATTCACATAAAGACACAGTTTAGCCAAACTGTGCAAAGGGACACGGGCAGCTTTCAACACAAGCAATTTTTAGAAGTGCTCACCACTTGTATTTTGTATTTGTACCCTGACTCATCTTAGTATTTAATTTTTCCAAGCAAAAGTACAGTTTCCTTGGAACTGTTCTGTAGTACTGCTGGGCAAACTAGCAGAATGTTCTGGAGAAGCAGCGCCAGAGGCACCACTGAAGCCCAAAGAGGTAATCTGTTTAGTTTTTCTTTTTCTCTTCACGGATAAGTATTTTGGAATACAAAATATTTTATCATTAAATCCATAGCTGAATTAATATCACATCCAAATTAGTTAATGATTGGTTGGTTCTGTACATCCATATGCAAGTGTATAAACATTTACACATGCAAAGTATTTACAGATGATTTTGTTTTCACATGACAGCATCTTAAAAAAAAGCACACAGCAGACTGTCTCAAGTTCTGTTTTAAACACAAAAGGCTTTCAGGAAGTTGAAAGCAGGTGGACAGGATGAGCAGGCCCTTCAGCGTGAGCCTGCTTCCAAAGGAGCATGGTACGCACACGAAGCCAACAGGAAAGGTGCAGCAAGCCCCTGGAGCTCCACGGCTCCTTCCTTGAGGGGTTCCCAGGCTTCCAGTGGGCAGAGCCCTATCCATCAGCACATGGAGAGGCGCCTGGGAAACACTCTTCTCCAGGGTCTGGTGCTGTCACCCTACACTGTGCAGATTGCAGGACTGGACCACCCTTGCACCGCCAACTTCAAGGCCATGGCAAGTGGAGGTGCCCACACGACCCATGTCGTTGGCTTGACAGAGAAGCCTGTGCACACATGGATGGTGTGTGCCCATCCTGAGGCTGGTCTGCAAGCGGATTGCCTCTGCTGTACCTGGTGACACAGAGGTGCAGGACCACAGCCTGCCTCTGAGCTGACTGGCTTTTTGTTTTTGTTTTTTTCCCCACACGCACTAGGAACCCCGAAGGTCTATCTGCTTTTATTGTGATAGTAGCTTCATTGCAGTGATCTTGAACCAAACCCACGAGATCCCAGAGGATGGCAGCTGTGCTTGAAAAAGAAGTAGATGTTTCCATCAGCACTGACGTTGTCACTTTACGTAACTTACTCAGAGTATGTTGCCTGTTCATATGCTCCTTGCCCCTGCTTTCTAAAAAGGCCTTTGCTTCTCTGACAACCTCTCTTTGGAAGGCTAAGGAGCTCTGGTGGCGTAATGCATTACATGCTGGACCAGCCTGTGGTTTGGATCTACCAACTGCTGGGCCGTAAGATGGAACATTCTATTCTGTCCTTGTTAAGAATTACAGCTTCAGAAAACCCAATGGGGGATTACCATGAGTTGGACATCAGCCAGATGGCAATGGTTCTGGTTTGTTTTTATTTGACTGGTTAGAAGAGAGGCTGGGTCCAGATCAGCACTGCTGACTGAGCAAGAGGGATCAATGATCATTCTTTAGGAACCCCAACTGTCACCTTTTCAGTGCCAAGGACAGGACATAAATGACATTCCCAACTCTCTTACCTGAACTTTGACTTGACTTTCCCTCTCCCACATTCTCCTGACCAGCCCTCTCAAATCTCATCCTAACCATTCCCTACAGCACCACAAGCGACTTTTCTAAACCACCAATCAACATCTTCTGTCTTCAAAATAAAAGCAAAAATCTCCAATAGATTTTTTTTTAACTTTTTAAACTTTTATTTCATTGTCAAGGCTTATAACAACAAATTAAATATTTAAAATCAAAGGCCAACTCTTAGGTCTTACTTATTCCATTAATTTGTATTACGTATGCTTCCCTCAATATCTTCAATCAAGAAAGAAGTAAAGCCTATGACAGTACCTGTTAACAACCAATACATAAAATTTTGTTCTATGATCCACGTATTTGTATCTTAAACACTCTACTGGTACACCAAAAGGATAATTTTCTCATAAAGATGTTTTTGTTTTAAAATTCAGATAGCTATATATCAAACTAATTAAGAGAGTCAATATAAAAGATAATATTGGTCTAATTCAGGAGTGTTCACCTAGAAATGATCACCTAGAATCTTGATTGGCCAAAATATAAAACCTAACAGCCCTGATTCCACAAATACATTAGATTTAATATGAATGTTTCCTTTTTAGATATATTTTGTCAGATAGCCACTGCTGTCTACTTTTGGCATTATCCCTAGTACTTTTATCATAATTATGGTGGCTGCCAGGGTTTCTGGAAAGAAATCATTTTATACAGGCATGAAAGCAAATAGAAACCAGTTGATTTACCATAAGTCCTGTGTGCTTATATATATTTTCACCCTTTCCCTAAGTTTTGCTATGTCGAATTTGGTTTGAAATGAATATAAAATGTACCTATAGACATTTTTGCAGAGTTAGCACTAAAACTACAAATTGATGACACTGTCTAGGCAAAGCAGAAAGATCAGACCCTTCAGTGCTTACTGAATACTGCTGACTGCTCTGTCATACCAACCTGGCTGAACACTGACATTTCATTGTTTATAAAGACTGCTATCTATATGTGTTTAAAAATGGATCTGCACAAAAGAAATGAAAAAACTTTATATATAACAAATTTGTTTTTAAAAGTACAAAAAATAATATTTGTCACTTCTGTCATGCTGACAAGTGGACTTGTATACACATACGCAGGAGAAAAGGTCAGACGTGTCATCTGACAGCTATAGCCTGTAAATTTTTAATATGATGAACACACTGCCACTGAATGAAAGAAGAAATGTGTATTCAAAATATTCCATATACTAAATAATGCAATACTCACTGCATGTATACATGCCAGTAATAACAGCCTTCATTCTACTTGATTGAAAGTCTTAAGCAAGCTAATATAAAGCACACTAAAAACCACAATAGTTTTAAGAATCTACGACCTTATATAAAGAAATTAAAAATGTACAGAATACAACTATACAAGAAAAGAATTACTGTCATGCAAGATTTAAACTAAATGCATAGAAATGCAATTTAAACGGCAAAGTCAGATTTACATAACACTCCAGATCAAAAGGTCAGTGGTAAATCCTACCAAAAAAATGCTTAAGGAGGATTTAGGAAAAGAAATACATTCTCTCTGCTGGTATAAATCAGATCTTCAAATCCATGGGCCGAGTCTTATTTCAAGAAATTAGCTCTTTAACAGTTGTTTTTATGAAATCTTTCCTTTCAGTTAAATCATTAGCTGGATAATTTTCATATACCTCTTTGCAAATCTTTCATTGTGACTTCCTCTAGGTTAGCATTTGCCAATAATTTTTAAACTGTTTCCTTTAACTCTTCGTCTGTGGGAGGCTTCTTCAATTTTTTAATTAGAGGTTCATCATCTGAACTATCTTCTGATTCACTTTCTTTCCTGGAACTGCTTTGATTCTTCTTGGTGGTGCTGCTATCTGCCTTCTTAACATTAGCACTTTTTGCAGATTTTCTACTTTTAGAAGCAGCTTTAGGCTTAGGCTTTTCTTTCTTAGGTGTCTTTTTTGGTGGCTCTTCTTCACTTTCTTTATCTTCATCATCTGAAGATTCTTCTTGATTTTTTTCATCTTCATCACTACGAGATTCATCTGACAGAATCTCAGGACATTGGGATCGCTTCCCCTTCCTTGCCATTCCAGAACTGTTCCGCTCCTTCTTGCTGCCTTTGCTAGAAGCTTTTTTGGATTTTGGCAAAGGTTTTCCAGAAGGCTTTGGATGCATTAAGAAATTCAAGATCCGCTTCACTAGTTCACTATTTACACCTGATCTCTCCAAATCAAGAACCTCACAGATGCTCTTCAACAAAGCATTTCTGAATTTTTTCCAACATCTCTTCCTTCTTTTTATATTGGGCACTTCCTTTTTCAAATGGAAAGCCACTGAACTGACCCACATTTTTCTTTAATGAAGATACTGTGCCTGGTCTGTGGTAAAGCAGTTTGTGTAGATTTCTAAGTTCATCGGTTTTCTTCTTACTCAGAAAGAAATGTAGCCTTTCAATTTCACAAAGTTTCTGTCCTTTTCCTTGTGCAATTGTGAAAGGTTCTTTCTGTAAAGAAGAGACTTGCATGGTCAATCACTCCACTTTCTTTTTCTCTCGCTTGCCTTCCACAATAAGACTTTTTTTCTTTTTCTTCCTCTTCATCTCCCCCCTCCTCCTCCTCTTCCTCACTTTCCTCTCAGGTGCCCCGCATCTCGGAGGCGGGCTGGGTGGGGGTTCCCTCTCCCTTTGCGGCGGGGCCCGAGGACGACATGCTGTGGTCATCGGTCTGCGGGTGAGGAGGCAGTGGGACTTGGTCTTGGGGCAGCCTTAGGGTCACCCAATCCCCCCGCGGCTGGCCCACAGCGGTGCAGGCGGGAAGGACTGAGACACGGGAGTGACTCAGTTGTCTCCTCCTTCCTGCAGCCGGGACACTGGTGCTCCCTAAAAAATCTCCAATAGATTTTCTAAAAACTCAAAGTCAAGCCAATGCAGTATGGTCAATTTTGAGAACATTTGAGGCATGTTTCTTCAAGGTTCATTTATAGAGTCTTAAATGAAATATACTGGCCAAAATAAAATGCATACTCCATTCTCTCACTGTTTGGGGTGAAAACTTTACTCCAGTAATAAGAAATCAAGCAGCACATTGAAATGGGCAGATCTGCTGCCAAGGACCTCCTCTTTAAAGTGCTAAAACGCAAGGCTGACACCTTAAAGATGAAGATGTGCCTGACCCAAGCCATGATTTTTTCAATTGCTTCATATGCAAGTGAAACTCAGATAACGCATAAGTAAAATCAAAGATCTGATGTCTTTGAATTGTCATACTGGTGAAGAACACTGAATATACCAAAGACTATAAAAAGAACAACTATATCTTGCCAGAAATACAGCCAGAGTGCCCTTAGGAGCAAGGATGGTGAGATTTTTGTCTCACATACTCTGGGTACGTTACCAGGCAGGGACATTATGGATAACATCATGCTTGGAAAAATGGAGGGTCTGAGAAAGAGGAAGAACCTCCACAAAAATATCAACAATGGGCTTAAGCACAGGTGGCAGAGACTGTAAAGATGGCACAGGGACTGGATAAGATTTTGTTATGTCACAAATAGGGTCACCATAATTCATAGTTGACGACAGCACCTATCACTAAAGAGTCTTTAACAGAGTGATGAGAGCTCACAGAGTGCTGCCAGCTAAGGCACAAGGCAGGGAGCTGATAGAGACTCAGGAGCCCTAAGGACACACGGGTGACCATTCAACTGCCTACCCAAAAGGGCTGACTGAGTCACACCCGCCAGCCACGAGATACAGGTATAGTAATCTAGTTCCATAAAGAAGCTGTGCTTCAAGAGCTCTGGTGGCCTAGTGTCAAGAAGCTGCACTGCAATCCCAGAGGTACACGGTTCAAATCCACCAGATGCTCTGCTGCAGGAGAGGCAATCTCCTCCTGCACCAGTCAGATCTGATTTGATGGTACACACAAAAAAGAATAAAAATGGGGGGGATAAAAAAAGCTGTGCTTCAATCCCAAAGGTATTAGGTTCAATTCCACCAGCAGTTCCTTGGGAGAACTGGGAGAAGGATAGGCAATCTCTTCCCATGTGAGCTGCTGCTCCTGAAAACCTGCTTGTCAGCTGTGACTGACACACTCAACATGAGAAATCCTACAGAGCAATTCTACTCTATCCTATAAGATCACCATGAATCACACAACGAACGGGATTTCAATGGCACTGCCACAGGAAGACCAGAAGCGGATGGTGACAAGCGTCCACTGAGCGATGTGGTGAGACCACCAGCAGAATCAGCAAGCACAGGGACCACGTTCACACAGAACAAGCACATGCTGAAACAGGGCTTCTGATGGAGTAGGAGCAGTGACAGGAGCTTACCTAGGAGAAGACTGATGGAACTAAGCAGGGAAAAGTTGAAGTACATACACTGAAGGGTTTAAGACCTGCACTGGTTAGAACAGTCCCAAGGCACTGTGGTAAAACCAGGGCTGACAGTCATCGGCACTGCCTTCTGCAGCCATATGTGGGCCCTACAGGACAGCTGCAGGAGTAGGGCCTGCACCCCCAACTCTCCCAGCCTACAGGAGTGGACTCATGGCCCTGGGACTTGGGTCAAGCAAAATTTGGAGGCAGCAAGAACAAGTTCTAGATAACTGCTGGTATGGTGCCCGCGGTTGAGAGAGAGGCTGGATGGAAGGTGAGAGGGTGGTGGAGCAAGCCCAGTGAACTGGGGTAGCCTCAGGCATGTTTCTAACCCTGTTCAGCCAAGGCTTGACCCTAGGAGGAGGAGAGCCAGGATCAAGGTAGCTGGAGACCCCTCTTCCCAACTGTCCCAGCGGCCTGGCCTGAGTGATCACAGCCTCATATCTGAAGCAGATGGAGAAGTGGCTGCTGAGGCCCCACCTTGTTACGGCAGAGCTCCCTTAAGGACATGGAGAGCAACAGAGGGAGTCTGGTTTAGAATGCAGCCAGAAAGACAGTGAACCGTAACAAGAGTAAGCCTCAGTGGGAGAGCTGGAGGCAGAGGAATGGTGAGCCGTGGACTATTATGCCCACCACTGATCCTCACCTTCTGATCACCACCCCACCTAGGATTTCACTCAGTCCATTGAGATGTCTCCACTGTGAAGACAGAGCATGAACAGCAAGGAGAGGGGATTAGATAATAACTCACCACATGAAGAGGAATCTTGCAGAGCAAGAATGCTCACACTTAAGACAGGAAGCCAGGCCCTGGGAAGCCAGGCTCTGGGAAGCCAAGCCCTGGGAAGGTGCTCCTTCACTTACAGGAAGTCCCCGCCAGTCCACAGGTAACAGTGCCATGTCCACTCTGCCAAGACTGGGGCATATGAATGAAGAGCTACTGCTGTGTACATTCCCGAAGGGCTACACGTAGTGGCTCGACACTACTTCAGGCTCAGGCTGTACTTCGCACTTGGACCCCGGACCCACAGCATCTACATTTGCCTAGAAAACACTGTTACACTATCTGCAACCTTGTGTCCTAATGTTTCCATCCAAGCTGGTGCCTTACATCTCGTCTCAAGCACTAGCATGCTGCTCCTTCTGTTTCAAATTTCATAACTGATCTACCACAGCAGTCCTTGTTCACTGCTGAGTCACTACAGCCCATCACCCTAGAAACGGCAGCTTTCCATCGTCTATGCTCTCCTTCAGTGGATAAATAGGGATCCTCAGGGTGCAATGACTGTGAAAGGGGACCTGGGAGGGCTGAGGCGAGGCATTACATGGGTTCAGTCCTTAACTATTTGCTGGCAGTTTGAACCCATGTCAGGGTGCCTTGGAATGACAAGTCTGGCAATCTGCTTCAAAAGCCCACTGGCCTGAAAACCCTATGAAGGAGCTATACAGGCACAAATGGGGGTCTATACCAACTAGACAGTAACTAACAACAAACCCGGAAAACGACTGTGCAAGTCAACTGTTCACACGACACATCGAGTGGTTTCAGTACATCCCCCCTCCAAGCCGACTCTTCTTCATACACTCTGCTTTACATCTGAAGCCTACATCTTTCCCTCTTGAAAGCAAGCAATTTTTGTCTCTCAACTGCAAAGAGATCTTCTCAGGTGCCAAGGAAGGGTAAGATTATGATTGCATTCTAAATCAAAACAAGAATGAGTACTCTTTTAACTTGTCCATGAGGCTAAAGATGTTAACAGTGTATAGAAAAAACAAAGTCGATCACTAGCCTCCCTTCTACATTCTACAACGTGGGGGCCGCCTGCCAGTGATACAAGACAGCTGGGAACTGATGGCTGCAGAAGGGGAGTGGTGCTTTACTGTGACTACTTCTGTTTATTGAACACATGTGGGAGAAATAACCTCCTATCTTTTAAAACGACAAAAGCAGTAGAATTGTGAAGAAAAACAGAACTGCTGGATATTCTTAAAATGGTCTTTGGATGGATAATTTTCATCAAGTAACTAAGGAAATGGAATAAGAGAAAGGATTCACATTCCACTTTGCTATGACAGCAGCGTAGGCAAGCCCACTCCCATGTGTCCAGGTGCTGAGGTGGACGAGCTCTGGTCAGTGTGCACTGAACCCCACCACAGTCGGTCCTGCTCTGCACACAGAGCCGCCGCCTGAGTGCCACATACAAACCTGTTCACTGATAGCTGTGCAGGCATATCGATGTCCTCACCTGTGAGGACTCACCTGTGGGTATGATGTGATGAGGTGGCTCTGGATCTCGTCCATCGTGTCAGTACCATAGGACACAGTGCCAAGGTGCAGACGTTTGAACACCATCTCATTCTGAGTCAGCGTCCCTAGAAGAGCCGCCATTGGCAGCAACATCAAGAAAGGAATGAGCAGGGTCCGCACACCATCAGTTAGGGTTCCCACCAGTGCAGGTGAGCTCTCCCTCTGACCACACCCCAACATCCCTGTCACACAGCACTCTGAAGCCTCCCCTGCCTCACTCCATGGGTGAGGGCTAGCATTGTCTTCCTGGCATGGCCAGCACATGCCAGTAACTGTGACCTCCTGTGTGGCTCTAGCTGGATGAAGAAACCCTCCGGTTTTCTCTTAGCTAAGATGTCACTAAGCACAGAGATGTCACCGTTGTAGACTGGGTGGATGTTGCTGGGCACGTGCTGCCTGTTCTCTAGGACAGGTCTGACACTAGAAACTGTCTTTTAATGGCAGTCTAGAGCATGCTGGGAGAGACAGTAAAAGCCCAGAATTTGCATGTCCATCCATTTTAAAAATAACCCCCCGATCACTTCTGTGAAAAGCAGCATTCCTTTTTAATTGTGCAGAGACCGACACAGCTCACAGTTTTGCCAGCCGGAGCATCTGTTTGATGCTTAGAACCAGGACGAGGTGGCATGCATATGGACCAGGGGACATGCACACATGTATGGTGTGGTGCATGCAGAGGTGTGCGTGTAGGCCAGGTGACACATGAGTGTGTACTAGGATCTGCAGGTGACCTGGGCGGTGTGGGTGTGGAAAAGTGCACACGTACTGTACACCATACCAGTGTCCCAGCTGTGTGCACATCTCAAACACACTTAATGGTGTCTCAGCTGTGCTCACGCCCTATGCACACCCACGAATGTCCCAGCTATGCTCACACCCCGTACAGACCCAGAAAAGTCCCAGCTGTGCTCACACCCTGTGCATACCCACAAACGTCCCAGCATCTGTGCTCACATCCCATGTATATCCACAAATGTCCCAGCTGTGCTCACACCCGTGCACATCCACAAACGTCCCAGCTGTGCTCACACACTGTGCACTTCCACAAGCATCCCAGCTGTGCCCACACCCATGCACACCCACAAACGTCCCAGCTGTGCTCACACCCCGTGCACACCCACGAACATCCCAGCTGTGCTCACACCCCGTGCACACCCACGAACATCCCAGCTGTGCTCACACCCCACCACACCCAGAAATGTCCCAGTTGTGCCCTCTTCCCACCTCCTCTCCCCTGTTGCCCACCGCTCCCTGCACTGGTTGTTCTTGCTGTGGGGTGTCTTGGAGTTGACTCAGAGAGAACTTGTAATAGCTCAAAACATAGAGGAATGTTTATTTTGTTACATTTTTTTCAAAGGACCGACAGGCTCTATTTGCTTACTAAGCCATTAATGATTGCTCTGATCTTTAAAATCTGCCTTCTGCTCTTTTAGGAACCATCTTTGTTATTCCTAAATTGACATTTAGATAATTTAGACTTGGTTTTCTCCAACCCCTCTCCCTCACTAAAGCATTTAAGGCATGAAGCATCCTCAAAGTTCTACTTTTGTGTAATCACAGATTTTTATTGTATTTTTTTTAAATTTCCATTGTTGCACATTGTCTTCCGACCTCATCCTGTCTCCCAGCCCACCCCGCTATGTACTCCTTATTGCATACTGTTGTCACACATATAATGCCTAATCATATATTCCTTTTGGACAGTTTTTCCCCTCATCTGTTCTAACACAGCATTCATTATCCATCCACTCTTTTCCCATTCTCTCCCCAAGCCCCTCATGTCTGTCTTATTTTATAACAGCAGTGTTATGCAGTATTTCTCCTTTTGTGACTGAAATATTTTGTTCATCATAATGTCCTCCAGGTTCCCCCAAGTTGTGTAATGTTTCACTAGTTCACTGTTTTTCAGTGCTGCATAATATTCCATTGTGAGAATGTACCATAGTTTTTCTATCCATTTGTTTGTTGATAAGCACTTCTTCGGTTGCTTTCATCTCTTTGCTATTGTGAATAACACCGCAATAAAAATGGGTGGGCAGACATCTGTTTGAGTTGAAGCTCTTTAGGGTACATTCTCAGTAGTGGAATTGCTAGGTCAAACAGTATTTCTATTTCCACTTTTTTTGAGAAAGCACCAGACTGCCTTCCATGGTGGCTGCATCATTTTACATTCCCACCAGCAATGAAGAAGAGTTCCAGTCTCTCCACAACCTCACCAGCATTTGTTGTTTGTTGCCCTGTTGAACTTTACTATTGGTGCTGGGTACTCCTTCTTGACCTGTATGCTAAGTGTGCTGAATTTCAAAACTGTGGTGATTTAAATATTAAGCTTTGCTAATAATGTCTAACTTTTAATCAGCAAATCAATCAAATTCTTACTGTAATCCAGTGTACTCACTCTTTGGTGTTTTTGGGAACTTGGTCCATGTCCAAATGGGTGTCAATTGTTGTAAATACTGCATGTACGTTTGACAAGAAAACGTATTCTCTGATTATGGGATAAACTTTCTCTCTATGTCCATGAGTTCAAACCTGATCACTCTGCTATTTAAATCTTCTTTACTGTGGCTAGTGTTGTGCCTGTTGGGATTATAGAGATGTGTTGACATTTTCCTTTAACAATAGCTGATTTAACTGATTTTTCCCCTTGTACTGCAGGCATTTTTTTCCTTTCTGTATTTTGCTAAGGAGGGTCAGCTATGGGTCAGTTCCGACTCTGGCATTCAACAACAACAACAACGACAACATTTAGGATTGAACCTTAAAATGCCATCTGTTTTTTTGGTTTTTTTTGGTTCTTACTTGTATAAATATACTTTTTCTTTTAACTTTAAAAAAATGTAAAGTTTTTTCATTTACTTATCTCTAAAAATTACATTGCTTTTTTGCTTTAACTCCAGATAAAAGAAATCTGGTTAAACATTTTCTTTCGAGCTTTGAGTCTTCAACATTCTATTCTAAAATCCATTCATGATGATGTAAGTATTTGCATTTCCTTACAAGGCTGTTTAGTATTAAGACACAATAGTCCCCAATTTATCCATTCTACTGCTGATGAACTTCCTGTGTGCTGTCCAGACAGTGACTCTGACTAGTCGGAGTAACACTGAGTATATCTGTATGTCTCCAGTAAACTCTTCCTCAATGCACAACAGAGGTGTGACGCTCAAGGGCATCTGACTGTGTGTACTCCAGGAACTGGTTCTAAACTTGAGGCACCCGGCTGTGTGCACATTCCAGAGGTTTGTTCTAAGTTCGAGGGCACCTGGGTGCATGTGGCTTGGTAATGTCAGAATGTCATAATAAGGAGCTAAGCCAACTTGAGAGAGAGGTCTCTGTCAAATGCACTGGCAAAGTCTGTTGTCAGAGACCTCTCCAAAGTACTGAAGAGCAACAATGTGAGTCTAGAGACTAAGGTGTGATTGATCCAGGCCATGGTCTTTGTAATTACTTGCTAAGTGTCAGAAGTCTGGACAATGACGAGGGTTGATAGAAGAAGAACTGATGTCTGTGAGCTGTGGTGCTGGAGAAGAGTATTGAAAATACCATGGACTGCTAGGAGAAGAAACAGTTTCATCCTAGAGAGGGTGAAATCAGGCTGCTCCTTTGAGGCAAGGACTCTGAAGCTTGGTCTGGCATACTTTTGACATACTGCAAGGAGGGAACAGTCCTTGGAGAGGGGCATCTTGCTTGGGAGGGTGGAGAGACAGTGCAAGAAAGAAAGACCCTCGATGAGGTGGATTGATTCAGTGACTGGGGTAACGGGGGCAGGTGTGTCAGAGACAGTGAGAGTGGCACAGGACAGAACAGGGCTCAGGGCTGTTGTACACAGGGTCGCTATGAGTGACAGGCAACTCGACAGCACATAATAACAAGCAGCACCCGCCTCCTTACACCCTCATCAACAGTGATTGATTCTCCCATACTTGTAAACACATGACTTTCTAATGTTAAGAGAAACAATGTTTTTAAATCTGCAAAATAGTCTATTTGTGGAAACAACATGCGTACTTGTTTAGTTAACTCTTCTTGATTTTTGCACATTTAAAACCTACACATTTTAAAATTTGTACTCCTACAGGTAAGCCTATTATCAACACATTTTGTTTGGATTTACTTTTCAATCACGTTAGACTTGTTGTTGGTATTGTAATTGACATTTTTACTGTTAAGTTTCCCAGTTGTTGCTAGGATGCAGAAATGCGGTTCAGCTACAACCCTGAGGTCCACAGCAAAGCACTCCATCATCACAATCTCCCTGTGCACGCCTCAGTGTCTTCTCCACAATAGTCTCTGAGTGTGCATCCCAGAACAGCCCTCTTGTTCCTATGGATATGCCTTCATCCTCACTGTCTGGTTTTCTACGCCTGACCATATGATTAGTGCAGGGTTGGGTGTGATTTCTTCTGCAGTGTTAGGCATCGATTTCCCCCAAAGTTGTATTTACTTAGAGTCTGGCCGCCTGTGGTTCTGCTACAAGTGACCCACCATCGTGTTTAGAGTGCATGCATGTGGAGAAGTCATGTGCATTTCAAGGTCTGGAAGATTAGACCTCAGAGCTGCTTCATGAGTGTCCTTCAGCTACAGGTGCTGTGACTCCTCACTTCAACTCTCACTGCTCGCTCCAAACCCAGCACTCCCCTAAGACACGCTTTCTGAAAAACTTCTTAATAGGGTCTCCCTCTGAATTTGTTTCGTTAAAAAGCAATCCAATTTCTTGTACTTTCTTGCTATCTAGTATTGCAGACTTTGAAAATGCTTCTGGAGGCTGGGAAGGAAGAAGCCTGCTATTTCTCAGGCTACCTCTGTGAACCCTAAAACACTATCTTCTTGTGCTATAAGGATTCACAAGTGTTATTCTTACTCAGTTAAGTCTCCACCGTCTCCAAAAGATAGTCCTGACCAAACCAAACCAAACCTTGTGGTTGCCGGCCACTCACCAGAGCTGTGCTGGTCTCAGGTCCCTAAGAGCCAACATCTCAGGATAGGACTCTTAGAAGGTCCAGGACACAGCTTGTTCTCCTAATTCATCACCCATATTCCTCAGCTCTGCCCTGTCATCTTCTCATAACACGCTCTCCATGCTGCTCAGCCTGATGCTTCACAGAGGTACTTAAGTGGCTGTGACTGGACCTCTCGATCAAGTATGGGGGGTTCTTCTGCTTCCCTCACTCTGAGCAGCCACTTTGGGCTCCATTAATCGCAACAGGTGGCAGCTGACTTCCTTGGTTATAGTTGTCTCTGCACTTCCTGCTCTGAGTTGTGCATCTTGTTCCTGTTTCCTGTCTCACCACAATGGACACCACCACACAAGAATGTTAAATACCAGCACTGTCACCAGGCTTCTTGGTCTTTTTCTTAATAACCAAAGTAGTGGGGTTTCTAATATTTTATGACTAGAAAGGAGGTTTTGTTTCATGACCATGTTAAATAGCCACTCTTTTATTTTGAGATCATAAAGCATTACTAAGAATTTACTGAATCACTAAGGAGTGACTTCAAGGCCCATGTAGACCCTTTGCCACAGTCTTGACTTTAATTTATCTTTTATTTATCAGTACATCACAAAGTTGTGTGAGTTCTTTGATGAAAACCAACAAAATAAAGAGGAAAAGAATTTTGTTCATGGAGCCTTAATGTGGGAAGCTCTTTAGGAGAATGTTATTGTCAAAATACCAAATTCATGTATCTTATTGTCATTTTCTCCTAATAGCCCACAAGTATCATTCTATAATAAGGAAACATGCCATTTTTGCTCCTAAGATGCCACTAGAGAGGTGTTATAAAGGCAATTAGAAAGCAATCACAAGTTAGTAGAAAATTCAAATTGACAGAGCAGGTAATTAAATCTCCAAGAATCTAATATTTTGCTGATTCTGATGACACTGTGTATGTCTGAGATGAAGACTAAGTTGTGTGGCAGTTTTCACAGGTCTAAAAACCTCTGAAAACAAATGCAACATTCTGTTCCATCACAGGAATGACACTTTTTGATGAGATGCTGACACATGGAAAGAGACACACTGTCATTGGTACCTGTCTTGTCCGTCAGTAAGTACACCAGGCGGCCCAGCTCTTCGGGGATGGTGCTGGTGCGGACGACTGTTCCTGGGATGTTCCCATCTCTCATCATCAACCACCCATATGCTGCTTTGCCCATGTCCAAGTTCACTCGTAAGCTGCCAAATGAAACCATAACAACATTCAGTGAACCCACACCACAAATTATTTTTACTTAATGCTTTCAATTTCATTGAATTTGTGAATCTCTAAGAATTGTATATTGATGTAAAGTGATAATAACCAGATTTTGGATTTTAAGTGAATTTCAAGTTCACATTCAAGTACTAAATGTTTATACCCCAGGTGTTTGCAGATGACTGTGAAATGACTCTTCTTAGTCAAGGTTCATGTGAGGAGGAAAGGAGAAAGGCAGTGTGCTCCAGCAAGACTCCCTTTCGCCCCAGACAACCCTCTCACGCAGATTAGAGCCCTTGTACTGAAGGGTCTCGGTGGACAGGAAAGCACTTGACCATCTGGACATCAGCAGTTGCCACTGACAGCTCTACACTGCTCGCTGCAAAAGAGCTTCTTTGTGGAAAAAACATGCTTGCGAAATGGGGTCGGTCACCTGCTGTTGCTTTACCAGTGGTCAGGATGGTGCTTACTTTCCTAACAGTCTGCATCGAGGGCTGACCCTCTGTGATGACCTGTCTTTGAAGCAGCAGCAGAAATAATGAGAAAGACATCACTCTTTCATGTTAAGAATGTTACAGTGTTTGCTTTCACTCTATGGTCTCTGAGATGATGATGATAACTTACAAAGCAGTAAGGAGATCATGCTACATCCAATGGGCTCAACACAATCACACTTCAACTTAAAGGTGAAGACAAGAGGGTTAAATATTCCCAAGAAGTCGAAATTTCCAGATGTTAAAACTTTAAAGGTTAAAAAAAAAAAAGAAAGAAAGAAAAAGAAAGCAGTAAGACACCTGAATCAGGTTCAACAGATAGGAAAACATTGGTAGCGAGGTGAGCTAACGATGGCGAGTCTTTTTGAGCGGCCAAGTATGTCCCCCTGACTCGTGAACTGGGTGCACATTCTAGCAGTCAGAAAAACATCTGCAGTGGGAGGACAAGGAGAGGAGGTAGGGACAGTGCTCACAGATGGCTGGGCTCAGTGACCTGGGCTGTAGAACAGCCTTCTGCTTTGCAAATCAGAGCAGCCTCAGCTTGTTTTCTTGACACTGAGATGCAATCCATACTGAAAGGGCATTCCTTGATCTTCTGCAACAAGTGCTTCAAGTCCTCCTCACTTCGGCAAGTAAGGTTGTGTCATCTGCGTAACACAGGATGAGTTGTGGGAGAAAGAGAGCAAAATGTCACCACAAAGATAGAGGAGAAGAAAAAAACCGAAATGGATGTCAGAAGAGACTCTGAAAATTGCACTAAAGTGTCAAGAAGCCAAAACAAAGGAAAACATACCGAAGTAAACCAGCTGAACAGAAGATTCAAAGGGCAGCTCAGGTGGACAAGGCAGAGGATTATAAGGAATGTGCAGAGAGCTGAACTGGAGAATGAGAAGAAAAGAACTCGCTCTGTATTTCTCAAGCTGAGAGAACTGAAAAACAAATTTAAACCTTGAGCCGAAATATGGAAAGATGTTTTTGGCAATATATTAAATGACCCAGAAAGCATCAAAAGAAGATGGAAGGAAACCACAGAATCACTGTACCAAAAAGAACTGATTGATACTGAAAAGTTTCAGGAAGTATCATATGAACAAGAGCCAATGGTAATGAATGAGAAAGTGAAAGATGCATTTAAGGCATTGGTAAAAAATAAGGTCCCAGGAATCGATGGGATACAACTGACTTGTTTCAGTTAATAGAAGCAGCCTTGGATGTGCTCACCAGTCTATGCCAGGAAATTTGGATGACAGCTGTCTGGTCAATGGATTGGAAAAGGTTCATAATTGTTCCTATTTCCAAGAAAGGTGATCCAACAGGATGTGGAAATTACCAAATAATATCATTACTATCACCTGCAAGCAAAATACTGCTGAAGATCATGCAAAAATGCCAGAACAGTATATAGATACGGAACTGCCAGAAATTCAAGCAGGATTTCGAAGAGGCTATGGCACCAGGAGTATCACTGCTGATGTGAGATCGATCCTGGCTAAAAGTAGAGAATACCAGAAGAATGTCTATTTGTGCTTTGTTGATTATGCAAAGGTATTTGACTATGTGGATCATAATAAGTTGTAGCTGACAAGAATGGGAATCCCAGAGCACATTACTGTGCTCATGCGAAACCTATACCTGGACCAGGAGGGTGTTTTGCAAACAGAGCAGGGAAACACAGCATGGTTTAAAATTAAGAAGGGAGTGTGGCAGGGTTATATTCTCTCTACCTATTCAATCTGTATGTTGAGCAAATTATTCAAGAAACTGGACTCTATGAAAAGGAATGTGGTATCAAGATCAGAAGGAGAAAGAACACTGAGGAGAAATTTGTGAATGCTTAACTGAGTTAATGCAGAACTTGAACACAGACCAATAGGCAGTTGCTGGGAGAGAACAAGAAATTCTGTGTGGTTTAAATCAGAAAAAGTATACAACAGAGATGTATTCTTTCACTTATTTAATCTGTATGCTGAGCAAATAATCTGAGAAGGTGAAGACTGTGGCATCAGGATTGGACGAAGATTCCTCAATAACCTGTGATATGTAAATTAACAAGCTTGTTTGCGGAACATAAGGAGGACTGGAAGGACTGCAACACAACTGTAAATAATTAACACAGCTATAAATAAGGATTGCACACAATATTTAAAAACCCCACAAAGAGCCTCACAACTGTACCAATAGCAAACACACTAATAAATAAAAATGGAGATTTCTAAGGAGTTCATCTCACTTGGATCCACAGTCACGACAGGGTTCAGATCTGTTATTCAAAGGGTCATAATGAATTGTCCTCAACTTGATGGAACCTAACAATAACCACCGCCACCAACTGGTGCTCTAGTGGCTGAGTGGTAAGAAGCTGCGCTACAATCCCAAAGGCACAGAGATTGAATCCACCTGCTGTTTCACAGGAGAAGGATGGCAATCTCCTCCTGTGCGATTTACTACCCCTGAAAACTTGCTGGAGGTTCTGCTATGGTTCAGTTCCCACTCAACAGCACACCACCACCACCACCACCACCACCACTATGTCAACTTCTGCATTCTGATATAGACTGAACCAAGATACTATTAATAATAATGGGTGACTGGAATGCAAAACTTGGAAATAAGGAGTGGTAACTGGAAAATATGGAGTTGGCGACAGAAATAAGGCTGGAAATGGAATGATACGTTGTTGCTGTTATGTGCCGTCGAGTCACCTGCGATTCATAGTGACCCTATGTACAACAGCCCTAAATTCTGCTCTGTCCTGTGCCAATCACACTGTCTCTGACACTCCCATCCCGTTTACCCCAGTCAGTGAATCAATCCACCTCATAGAGGGCCTTCACCTCCTGCGCTGTCCCTCTACCCTCCCAAGCATGATGCCCCTCTCCAAGGACCGGTCTCTCCTTACAACATGTCCAAAGTATGTTAGATGGAGCCTCAGAATCCTTGCCTCCAAGGAGCCACCCGTTAGGGTTCCTAATATTGCTCATTTAGCAACAGCTGTCACCATGAGGCCCCTTCCAGTAGTGGACAATCTCCTGATGCTCAGATGGTTACCTAAGCCCAGAGGCAAGTATGACCATGACCAGAACATAATCAGGAAAAAGTTCAAAATAACAACAGGATCGGTGATGGGAACCCCATCCTGCTTCCAGGAGTGCAGTAGGCAGGAACATGCTCTAAGCTGGGGTGGGCCATTTGGCCCATGGACCCTCTAGGTCCTATCAGCTGAATGACCTCCCTGAAGGAGCAGGAACTTTGCTGGAATCTATGCTTCACCCTGGAGACTCCCAGTGCGAGCTGGATTTCAGGGCTCAGGTGTCAGGAGGACACTCACACCTTCTCAGGGAGAGCATCTACCAAAAATAATTGCCAGGCACCCCTTCGAAGGGTAACTTATTTTTAGACATCCCAAGCCTAGCAAGACAGAAGTCACATTCATGAGAGGATTCAGCAACAGTAATCGAGCTTTTCTTTATAAAGTATAAGGTTGGGAGAAACAATGCTAGTTCATCTTATTCTGTGTCCACGTTCCATGGCCCCAGAGGGCAGAGGGAAGTGTATCTGACACTGATGGGGTTTCCACATGGCCACTGCTTCCTGTTGCACCTGTCCTCCCTTCACCTGTGTATATGAGCACCCACACAGTCTGGGTTAACTTGTTCTCTCCCTTTCTTTCCTCAACCAACAAAGCAAAATAAAAACACAACCACATCTCCTTAATGAGTGTGGCAGTCTGACTAGAGCTGTACCCCCCGCTTCTTCCTTCCACCACACCACCTACCACCACGCTGCAAAGCTGGGCACTGGGAAGGCTTGTGAGAAAGAGGGGAAGAAGAAAAACGTAAAGTTTGCCACAGATTCAGAAGATAATGTTTTTAAAAAATGTTTAATATGCATTCACAATTATTTTTTTAAATTCATGATTTTTAAAAAAACTTATTAGCAAAGCAGGAATACAAGAAACTTCCCTGATACACAAAAGAATTTTTATTCAAATCTGCCACATCTGATGGATGCTGGGAGCTGTGTGTCTGGGACCCATCTTGTGCCACTACTTCTATTTAACATCCTGTCTGTCTCTGCTTGTCTAAAAGAAACAAGGAAAATGCCATAGAAAGGACTTGGAAGGGGAAAGTAAAGCTGGCAGGATTTATCAAGGTAATTATGTATAGAGAAAATGCAAGACAGTCTAGCTTAATGACTGCAATCAATAGAGAAGTCACAAAATTGTTGGATTCAACTACTTTCTAAAAATCAATTTTATGTGTGTAAGCAATAAATAGAAAATACTTCTTTTTAAAACAGATACTATTTACAATAACATTTAAAAATCAATAGCTGAGAAAAGCTGGCAAGATTTCTCTGGTGAAAATTTTAAAAGGAGACCTGTGTGACACGAAGAGACATGCCAAGTTCATGGCCTGGGGAACTCAGTATTGTAAATGTGAGGACCAAGAAAAGCTAAGACAGTGCCAATGAGCCAGGGTTTACCA